TCTATATCAAATCAGTATTCATGTTATTTATTTGCAGGTTTTGTCAGTGAGAGCCCATTATGCCAATTCAATGCAATCCACTTTAGCCCTATGTACACTGAAAAACATGAACATATCATTCTCGATTTGGATGAAAATGATGAGTTGAAATGCACTCCAGTCATGATTTTGACTTGGTTAAAAAAAAACAATTTAGGGTTGGGTGGGTTAGGATAGGGTCAGTTGGGTTACCGGAAACGGACATATTTCTGTGGTTGGCCTAAACACCCTGAAGATTGTCATTTGTTTCCCCATGTATATGAGTCAGAATAAGTATAAATGATATTTTTATTTTGAAAATTCCTTTTTGTACAAATGAGATATAGTTGGAGTAATGTCAAGGACACTTTTACTCAATAATCTGGCAACATAATATTGTTAACTAAACGTTAAACAGCTTTCACTCTTTGACTCACTCTGTTGAATTCCTGTACTGCCAGATATCATATAAAAGCATTTTACATAAACCTGGTTGTTATTCAAATTATCTTGATCTCATTACATGCTCAACATAGATACATATTCTGCTGTCATCTCATATCAGAATTTTGTATTCTGCCTCTATGAATGAGCTGAGGGAAATATCGGATGAATATTTATATCCAGGTAGTATGAAAACTAATATCCACCTGAAACCTGACATATATAGGGCTATATACAGCAAAACAACCAATGAAACAAAATGGAGGGAAGGTAATGATATACTATCATAGAACCGCATGGAATATATCTGTTTAATATGTTTATTTTTCCTTATCCTGACTCATGCTTAATTGCTTGTCTTCTTCCTCTTGCGAACATAGTGGAACACTTGTATCTCCTTATTGAAGCTCCCTTCAATAAAGTGTACGTAAAATCACTAATCACTACTCACCAAGAGTTGTCCCTCCTTCCGTTTTGGCGGGAACTGGCGCCACTGTTCCCCCACATGCTTCACTCTCTCCTTCGTCGCCCAGTGAGCAGGTTGTGAGAGCGCCTGTGTCTCCTTACGGCACTATATCCTTTGATTATTTAGTTAGGTTTAGCTAGTATCCTTCATCAATATGTTTTGATATTTATTCGTATTTACCATTGTTTATTCACGGTGTATTCCGTGTTTGTTCAGTAGTTTACGTTCATGAAAATCTGTTCCATATGTAAGTTACGTTTCTCTGTTGCTGACCCGCACCTAATATGCCCTAGTTGCTCAGTACCATGTTCTTTCAGCTCACGCTGCAATTATTGCAAGCATTTATCAACTTGTGAATTTAATAAATATTTACTTTGCGTCCTGAGGCGTGCCGCAGATATGTCGCGCAGGATTGATCCAGTCATGGATAAGTCAGCTGAGTCCCTCACCAGTCAACTGCTGTCGGACGACCCCCTACCGTCTGGTGTTCTGCTGGAGTTTCCCTCGGAGGAGAGGCGTGGGACGAAGTCTGCCACCTCCTAGAAGAGACCTGCATCTCCAGACATCCCGTCGTCGCAGTCCAAGACTCGGAGGTCGTCAGCCACCCAGCGCAGACTTTGCACCCCCAGGGGAAGTCCACCACCGAGGGGAAGTCAGCGCAGTCTACTAGAACTTTCTCGGCCGAGATTGTTCCTGTCGCAGAACAGGGCCTGTATGATGATCAGCCGATCATCATCCCAGAGGTTCATCACAAGAAACGACCGGTCTCAGCTACGGTGACTTCAGCGCAGATCCAATCTCAACCCGATGTATCAACGCTGACAACTGATGATCGTCCCGTGGGCCCCGTCGCCATCAACGCAGAAAGGGCAGCGCTGGTACCACCACAGACCTTCCCGGGCGACTTTATGCAGTAGTTCTCCAAGCAGATCATGGAGATTATGGAGGAGCGTTACGGCCTGGAAAAGAGACAGCCAGCCTGGGGCCCGAGCCTTCGCGAAGGCTCCAATGCAGACATCATCTCTGAGGGGCCTGCCATCAATGTGACTTCTGCCAGCAGAACAACACTACCGGACCAGCCTGCGCGAAGGCCGACTCAGCCAGCCCCTGCGGAGGACTCGGACAATCAGCGTTCGCGAAAGGTGTTCGCGAAAGGCTACACGATCTTCACCTGCTTCGGACTCGGATGATCAACGTTCTCGAAGGAGGAATCGCTCCTACTGTATCCAAGACATCTTCGTCCCGTAGATCGTCGAGGGATTCACCAGGACCTTCGCGAACCCACAGTCGCTCATCTCCGCGCAGGTCACCCTACAGGCACAGTTCGGCGGGCCATTCACCACGTCGATCTCCTCGCCGATCTCCACGCAGATCCCCACGCAGGTCTCCACGAAGGTCTCAGCAGGTCACCACGACGTTCACCCAACAAGTCTCCGCGCAGGTCTCCACGTAGATCGCCACCCAGATTACCACAGTCACGCAGGACTCCACCTCGTTCACCGTCGGAGGAGTATCAACGTCCCTTTCTCAGCACTCCTGTTACTGAGGATGATGGCGGCATCATATTTTCGGACTCTGAAATACGTTACTGGACGGCTAATGGATTGGACTTGGCTTTACCATCTAAAGACGATAATCTGGCTCACACCTATCTTATGACAGATGATAATGTCGACGCGCTCACTCTGCCCCCGATCGATCCCATCGCAGCGGTTCCACAGAACCTGGACGCAGCTTTCAAGACAGCCACTAAAGCCCAGGCGCCACACTTACCACAGTTCAATGCCAGGAAGTTCTCCTCCCATAAAATGGATCCCTTCCTTAAAGCTCAGGAAATAGACGAGAACTTTAAAGTAATCAGCGATGCCAAGGCCAAGTCTTACAAGATTGAGGACCACAAGCTGGCTCAAGTAGAAACTATGACCAGAAGAATGTTCTTCGGCCTCAACAGATCTCGCACAGTCAACGAAACGCTCATCGCCAAGTTTTGAGATTCCACTGCGGAAGAAGATAGAATGATCTATTCGGCCCTCCTTATGCAGAAGAAGGACCAACAGTTCATGACAGACCACCTTTCGTCCATCTCCGCAGCGCTAACTCTGGCCGGTCGTCAAGGTCTCCTCGCCTCCTGCAGTTGGAGTGAACAGTTTACGGCGTCACTCTACACAGCCCCGTGGTCAACTCCTTCCATCTTCGCTGGAGAAATCGACAGGGTTGCTAAGGAAGTCACTAAAGATTCAAGAGAAGTCCTAATGATCAAGTCCATAGATACTCTGGCCAGCGTCATCAGGCAGACAACCCAGCGTTACTCAGGAAGATCCAAGTTTCCTGGTATACAGAGGGCACGCGACAGGAAAGTGGCTAGCTCCAGAGGCGGGAAGGACTCTTTTCGCCGCCCATTCGGCAACTACAAGGGAGGATCCGGACAAGGCAGGGCACCCAGAGGCTCCCGGAATTATCGACGATGAAAGACGGGTTCGAACGACTGGAGTCTTCCACCCCCAGCCGTTCCTGTACAACCTTCCCAAGTGGGTGGACGTCTACATCTCCACTGGGAAAACTGGGGAATACTACAAGATCCATACGTATCCAACATCCTAAGACACGGATATCGCATCCAATTACAGGCCACGCCACCGCTTACAGTCAACCCTCACAAGTTCGACTACAAGACACATCAGATAGAGAAGTTACGAGAGGCTGTCTCATCTCTTCTAACCAAGCGGGCCATAGAAATCGTGGATCAAGTCAACATCGAACTAGGTTTCTACTCCCCAGTTTTCCTGGTTCCAAAGAAAAATTCCAAAGAAAAGTTCCGACTCATCTACAATATGAGCACGTTCAACAGGGATTATCTACGCAGACCTCCCAAGTTCCGCATGATACATCTACCTCAACTAATCCACCTCGTCCGTCCGATGGACTACATGGCCAGCATAGATCTACAGGATGCCTACCTGCATATCCCGATACATCCCGACTCGAGAAAATACCTCAGATTTACACTGGACGGGCTACATTACCAATGGAAGGTCCTGCCATTTGGAATATCATCGGCCCCCTGGTTGTTTACAAGAGTAACGAAACCCTTAGTCACATATCTACATCATCGAGGACTACGAAGTGCATTCTACCTCGACGACGGGATTCAAGTAGATCAAGATCCAGTCCGTCTCAAACTACAATTGAATTTCACCATCAACCTACTCACGCAGCTAGGATGGTTATCGAATCTACCCAAGTCGGATCTAGAACCTACGCAGGACCTACAGTTTCTAGGCATCAGATTTCTCAACGACGCAGAATCGTATCATCGTGCCAGAGGACCGATGGCTCAAGATTCAACAGACCATCCCTCAAGCCTTACTCTCTCCGTGGCCACTACGACAGTGGCAGAGTCTGTTGGGTCTCCTCACGTCCGCACAAGACATGACAGCCAGAGGCAGACTACAGCTACACCTGTTACAGGTCCTCATCAATGCTCATCTCGACGACCTACAACCCTTCGGTATACCGAAGGGTTGTAGACCTCATCTACTATGGTGGACCCGGAGGTCGAATGTTTGCATCTATTTAGCAGAGCCGGAGTTCAAGACCCATCTATACGTAGACGCGTCACTCCAAGGTTGGGGAGCACATCTCAACAACCATGTGGCAGCCGGGATATGGAACCAGGAAGAGAAACGTCTGCACATCAACATGCTGGAGATGAAAGCAGCCATCAACGCCATACTCCATTGGAGCACCATTCTACAGAATGCGCATCTCATGGTACACACAGACAACTCGACAGTGGCGTTTTACATAAACAAGCAAGGCTCAACAAGATCATTGAACCTACTAGATCTCTGCTTTCAACTGTTCGACCTAATCGACGATCTGAACATCCACGTAAGAGCATGTCACATTCCAGGAGCCAAGAATGTCATAGCAGACGCACTATCCCGTCCAACTCAACCATCGCCGACGGAATGGATGCTCCATCCAGAGATCTTCACACAGATCATCAAGGAAATAGGAGCTCCGTTAATAGACCTATTCGCCACACGCTTCAACAATCAGCTAACAACATTCGTCTCTCCAGTCCCAGATCCACGAGCATGGGCAACGGATGCTCTCAGGATATCCTGGGAAGGCCTCCGCCAGCGCTACTACCGAGGGTGTTACAGAAAATCAGCCAGACAAGGAACCTCCAACTGATTTTGGTCGCGCCCTACTGGCCAGCAAGAATGTGGTTTCTCATTCTGATACACGAACTCGGACCACCAATACTGCAACTACCAGAGCGGTCAAATCTACTAGCACATCCTCACACAAAACAAGCGCACGGCAACCCAGGAGCATTCCAACTACACGTGTGGACTGTATTAAGGCATGTTTAAACAAGAGAGGTTACTCAGCCAGAGCGGCAAAAGCAGTCACGCTTGCTTTATGCAATTCTACACGCAAAGTTGTACGACGACAAGTGGCGCAATTTTGAGACCTACGCTGCTAAAAAGGGATTTACAGCTAGAAAGGCAACACATCCCCAAGTGGCAGACTATCTTTGTCACCTACGACAAACCAAAGGTCTGAAAGGTTCTACACTCTCAACATACCTAGCGGCATTGAGTTCAGTGATAACTATGATGACGGGTGCAAAGCTAACCAAAGTACCAGAGTTACTGGCCTTGTTATGCTCTTATAAATTGGAGGACCAAAAACAGAGATTTCACGCTCCGGCTTGGGACCTCAATATTTTTCTCAAACACCTCACAAGTGAGGGTTACGAACCACTGGAGACGACATCCTTTGAATTCTTGACACAGAAAACGCTGTTCCTGCTAGCCCTAGCAACAGCAGCCAGGATGTCGGAAATTAATGCTCTAGATTACGAGAGAACGAGATTTGATGAAAATCAAAACACAGTGCACATGGGACTGCGATGGGATTTTATCGCTAAGAATCAACTGCCAGGTCAACCGGACAGACAATTCCACGTCCCAGCACTATCCTCCATACTCGGACCACATGATACGCTTGACTTATCCTTGTGCCCAGTGAGAGCATTGAAAGTTTATCTACATCGATCCAGAATGAGGAGACGCAAGTTTAAACGACTTTTCGTCCCGATATCAACAGCGACACAGACGGAAGTCTCGCGCACTATGATATCAATCTGGATAAGAACTGTCATACTACGAGCCTTCAAGACTGCAGGACTCGATCCTCCAAGAGCCTCTAACCCTCAAGAAATTAGAGCACTGGCGTCAACACTCGCTCTACATGGGAATTGCTCGCTCAACACGATCATGGAGGGCTGTTTCTGGAAAACGGACATGGTGTTTGCAAACCACTACTTGAGAGATATCGCCACCGAGGACGTCTCAGGCATTCACCATTTCGGCCCTCTGGTTGTCGCACAGCAGTTGACAGTTCCCAACAGAAGATGAGACGTTGTCTCGCTCTGTTATCACATGACTTATCAAGCCTACACTCAGCAGAGTTTTGCTTCAGTATCTATGCACGTCTCAAGACTAGCATAAGTGATAAACTCAGTACTTGTAAGCTTACTCGTACAATTGGGTCGCTTCTCCACTTTGGAGTTGCTAAATCCACATTGAAATGTTAACAGAAGTAGGACCAAAGTTAACTATTGTGGTCCCCCCATCAAAAGGCAGCTGAAAGAACACATTTGCTTACAGCAGCAGAATTTAGCATAATTACAGTGCCATTATGAAGTTCCCGTAGGGGGGTTTATTTTGACATAAAATTCACTAATTAAATCCTAAAGTGCTTTTTCCCACCACCTTTTCCGTCGGATTCTACAAGCAATTAAGCATGAGTCAGGCTAAGGAAAAATATGTAATTTTCTGAATAAACTTGATATTTTATACTTATCCTGACTCATGAGGTAAGCCCTCCCAACCTCCCCACAAGACACTTTGGATTTCCCTGCAAATTCAAGTGTCGGGCTCATATTCAGGAGAGAGTGAAGCATGTGGAGGAACAGTGGCGCCAGTTCCCGCCAAAACGGAAGGAGGGACAACTCTTGGTGAGTAGTGATTAGTGATTTTACGTACACTTTATTGAAGGGAGCTTCAATAAGGAGATACAATTGTTCCACTATGTTCGCAAGAGGAAGAAGACAAGCAATTAAGCATGAGTCAGGATAAGTATAAAATATCAATTTTATTCAGAAAATTACATTTTTATTTGTGTTAATTTTATTTTACATACATAAACTGTTAAATGTTGTGTTTGAGAATGTGAATGTCTTATTGTTGTATCTGTACATATTTTTTAACAATACAACTTTTTATCAAACTCCCATTTTTTAAAATTCAAAGTTGAAGCACCAAGATCACTTTTGAAGGTCTGGCCTCATGTTTTTGGGATGCCAAAGTGCATCGTTTTGTATCTTCATTGAAGTACAGTAACTATGTTTGTATCAAACACACTTATAACAAAGTTGATGAATATAACAAGCTGCTTGTCTTGGTCACTGTGTGTATATTTTAGTCAAATTGAGCATAAATGAAGTATGTCTATAACAATCTAACATTACTGCTCCTGTCCATGTCTGTAATATTGAAAACTTATAAGCACCAAAGCACATTTATTTCCTACTACGTTTTTATTCAAACATGATCTATCCAAGTTATAGACACTCACTGCACAATTATGATATTAATTTCACTTGAAAAGGTGTTTGACAGAAGTTTGGCTGCCGAGGCCAGCTGATAACATGGCCCGAGTATCAGAAATGTCTAAACATTGCTCTGAAGTCCTATCTTGCTCTGGGGATTGAGACTCAAGAAATACCTTGCAGCATGGAGAATCTGAAGACAGACACTGATGCTGGTGTACCTTACAAATACTTCCTCATAATTATCATAAATAATCTTTAGATCTTTAGGAGCGGTGGGTTAGCTTAATGGTTTAAGCATTTGCTTGTCACGCTGAAGACACAGGTTCGAATCCCCACATGGGTACAATGTGTGAAGCCCATTTCTGGTGTCCCCTGCCGTGATTTGCTTGAATATTGCTAAAAGCAGCGTAAAACCATACTCACTCACTCACTTTAGATCTTTAAAAAGAGTGCCAACTTACCCCAGTTCTAAAATTAATCCATCAATCTATTTCTTAATACTGGATAGGTGGCATGGGTACATTATAGACACTAGCCAATGTTTTATTTCAAGAGAATTTTTAGCCTTCATTAGTGAGTAAGATTTATCATATTTATTCAAATTGATGATACTTTAAGATAAACCATACTCACATGAGATTGATGGACAAGCAAAAAGTGAGTCAATACCATGACATTTAGTCTTGAGGAAATAACCAACCTGCCATTCGTTCAAAATATAAAATGTACAACCAAATATATTTACTGTCTATTACTGAGCAAAATCACACTAATCATGCATTTTAAATACTTAGGAATAACATGATGTAATATAGCACAAATTAATATTGATTGTTGTAATGCATTTGTGGCATCTGTTGAGTAAATCAACCACACTACATACAGAGTACACTATTTTTCTGTCATTGGATATTCAATACATGGGTTCTTCAATAGATGGCAGGTCATATGCTGTGGTAAAGTAGAATGTGCATCTCTTGTTTTGTGATGTTTTGGGGATTTTAACTTTCGCATGACTGAAAATTTTGGATTTGCGAAGGTAGGGAGTTGCCAATGTACCAGCATTAAACAGAATAGATGCCTGGGCCCCTTTTCACAAAGCTCTGGTAAGTCTAAGATCTCGTAACTTTTCTCGTAGCATTCGTACCTCTTATGTTACAGTATAGGAGGTACCGAATGCTACGAGAATAGTTACGAGATCTTAGGCCTACGAGAGCTTTATGAAACGGGGCCAAGGCCTTTAACAAACCAGGGTTTTACGGGACGCATGATTCCTACATATTGGACGAGAAATTTGATGAAGTACCCCCAAACTAAAATCCAGTGCATACTTGTGGACGCAATATACTTTTTGGGGGGGAGAGAACTTTCTGAGTTTGTAATGATATCCCATATTAAAATGTAAACAATCTGTTTACAATCATTATTCTAATGACATTGAAAGCAACACATACTCATGACATAATCATTATCAAATGGGAAGCATTCATGATCATTGATTTCATGCAAATCAATGGACTCCCAATTTTGGAAATGGACTCTCAAAATAATATGACCTGAGTCTCCAGGACTCCCTGACAAACGACAGGCCAACAGCTTGCTTGAAACTGATAGATACTGATTTTCTAATAAGGAATGATGGTAGGGTGTGTTTGGAGATTGGCAGCTTGATGTATATACTCCCATGTTCTGTGATGTTTGAAAAGTCATCAGTGGAAGTAATAAGTTTCTTTGAAGTTGTCTGGGCACAGTGCATGTCTTGTCAAAGATTGTTGAGCAGACAATCCAGGACGTCCTGTCAAAGATAAATGTCTGCAGAAGCTTGATGTCAAAGATTGTTTCTGTCTCTGTTTAGGTTCCCGGTAGCGCAATTGGTTGAGTGGTGCGGTCGTATGATGTGGAGTTGCACAGCTCTGCATTGTGCGATCCTATCCCACCGTTGCCTCTGTTGGATTCCTTGCACCTTTCGATTCAAACCCAAAGCAAGGAATTAAGATCAAATCAGTTGGGTGGTCCTTCTGAGTAGCGGCACTCTCAAGGCAAGAGCATGGTAGCCGACGCAATCCCCTAGGGAGAAGTTGCGCAACACCATCAATCTTTTAAGATAAGAGAGAGAGAAAAGTAAAAGAAAGAAAAGAAGTACCTCGGCTTGAGTGGTGCAGAGCTATTGGTATCCGCGTCCTCAAGCTGAAGAGAAAGAAGCTCAATCGACGCATCAGCAACGTCGTGAGGGAGCAGCTGGGTGGCAGGGTGGTGTCATACACACCTGACCCCGCCCAGTATCTGGACGGGGTCCACCTAACTAAGCCGGGCATGGCCGCCCAACACTGGGCCATTCTGGCAACACTGAACACACAGTGAAACCTCTTCCGCGTCCTCTCCCCTACTCCCCCTTGAACTCTTTAACTCGTTGTGGATGGCAGCCCCGCACGCTGTCCGGCAGTGGGCAGCGGGCAGCGCGCAGCAGGCCTGTTGGCATGGTGCCAACGGGACTAAACACCAAATCGGCTTAAAAAGGGGGATACTTGGCTTCTGTTTTCACAGTGGCAGCCCAAACCTTCCTGCCTGCTGTCTTCACGGGAGGAAGTACAAAAGTTTCCCATGCCTTATCAGCCTGCTTTTCCTGCCTGCTGTCTCCACGGGAGGAAGTACAATGTTTGCAATTCCTTACCAGCCTGCTTTTCCTGCCTGCTGTCTCCACAGGAGGAAGTACAAACTTGCCTATGCTTTGCCCGTCTACTTTTATACGGCAGAGGGCTGCAGATAGCTAAAATATATATCATGCAAACAAATTTGTTAATCATCTGTATCAAAGTTTGGAGACATGTATCTACATGCAGTTTCCCATGTCAGAGTAGGGTATCCATGTAAAACCAGTGGCATGGTATACAAGCCACTTTGCTTACTCAAAAGTGCCATAGCAACAAATGTGCTTCCTGGTCAGGCTGATGAAATAGGACATACTATTATTGGTTATTGAGCAATTGAATAAACATGATAAATATTGCAGTATGACTCAAATATGCACTAGTTACATCATGATAGATGCTCCATGACCAATGTAATTGTGAGTGGCAATCAAACCTGGAACTTTCTGTATTGTGATACTTTTCTTATTAAACATGTTAAAGTGACAACATATGGAATTTGTCACATTTGATGAGTGTACATACATATTGAACTGTGTCTGCAACAGTATAATGACTTGGTGTTTTTCTTCAGTTCACTCAGTATCTGATAGAGAAATAAAGATCAGTGTTCAATCCATTGTTATATCACACAAAAAGGGAAAAGATGGTGGTGGTGGTGGTTGTAGTTCCCAATCATGTGCTCGTTTTCAAGAGATTTACAGTAGTCAGAGACAGCTTAATTTGTCAAGTTATTAGTTACATTTTTTGCAAAAGGCATACAGGTCTTTTGGAAACAAAAATTGCTTAAAAACTTTATCATTTCAGTTAAGGTCATTCCAATCAATAAATTGGAAAAAATAGAAAAATATCCTGAAAAATGGTATATGGCTTGTGTGATGTGAATGTTATCATTGCGTAAGTGTGTCACGAAGTTGTGTGAAGTGCTCTCACTTCCATGTAGACCAATCACAAGCACTCAAGTGTTGCTGATGAAGTGTAAATCCCTATTCAGTACCTCTGGTGCACAATACAGCTGTAACTTAAGAGGAAAGAAGATTAAGGTGGGGAATTATCAGTGGTAAAAATTGTTTTATGACTTACATTATACCTGTTTAATGGCCATAATTGGCGAATCTTCTTGTTTGTTCACTAATAAATACATTCTGACAACGTATATTACTATCTGATACATGTGACATCAAAGTGTGATATAGTAAACTCTACCCCTTTTTAAGATCTCGCCTACACTTAACAACTGTGAAAAACTATTATTACCTTCGAAAGATTCACACCACCTCATCAGAGTTGGCAAAACAGATAACAAAAGAATAGAATCCATTATTTTTACTGTGGCATATATATAGCCATAAAGTGTTGTTATATTATGCTAGATAGTATATCAGTTTTATTCCTTTTTCCTAGTATCTTCCATGTCACTAATCCTGCACATAGCATGTGAATATTTCATTAAGCCTCTCAAGTTATGCTGCAGACATTTCCGTGGTATTTTGAAACCATTTGTGGTAAGATCAGGTGAAACACGATCACATCCCGGCTGTTCCTTGTCAATATTTAATTCCAGCATTGTCATGCTCGTCTTATTGTCAATGCACGTCCCCTCTGAAGGAGCACAACAAGCACCTGCAAGTACCAGCACTGAGGGCTTCACAGGTGTTACACTGAGGTGGGTACACCTATCAGCCTCACCCTGCTGGAATATCTTCACAGATTTGAGAATGGTGAGTGTGATGTCCCTGCTAGGACTTCATTTACAGGTTTGTAGGCATGGATTTATCTCCACCTGCTCAGTCACTGATTCATTACACCAAGTCTGCTATAAATATCTGTAGTTCCCCACACTGGAATTCTGTTGTTAATACAGCTGTAACTGATATTCTACTTTTTAACCGAGCTGTATTTTACGACAACAGGAGTAATATATATATTAAGGGGCATGGTTTTATTGACCGTTAAAATATGTCTGCATTTAAGAAAATATCAGGTTTGAACAAAACGACATAATGTGTTTGATGTTCAAGTGTTGTTTTGAAATCCTATGTTAATGGGTGGTAACACATGTTCTTGTATTTCGCCGAATTTGTGTACTCCGTTGAAACTATATAGGGATATTCCCAGTTTCCCAAACTGACTGATTTTGGAACAGGAAGGATGCACTCAACATGTTTCATACTAGCAGAAAGCAAATGCCAGGGCTCGATTTAGTGCTTTGTTACTTGCACTGGTGCAATGCAATATTACAAAGTGCAACCCACTTATGAGTCTTAACTTGCACAAGGTGCAAGTCAGTTTTTGAGAAATAAATCAACAATAAATCTTAAACATTATAAGTATAAATATGTCAGCTCATCTTTCTTCTAAACTTTGAAAAGCTATGGCAGCGAAATATTGCTATTCATATACACGTTTTGGCTGTCACAGCTCTTGTAAACATGGATCAGCTGTGTCTCTGTGTTGCTATGGTTTCATAGGTATTACATCATGGAAATATGTTTACGTGCACCGAAACCTCTGACGTTTTAACACACTATGTTGCAACTGGTATTTGGCTGGTGCAACTAGGTTTTTATCTTAGGTTGCACCTGGTGCAAGTAGATAAACCTCTCTTAAATCGAGCCCTGAATATTCAGCTAGAGTGCACAGGTCACAAAACAGGCTAATTAAAGCAAATGGGATCACAATGGTATATTATGTGTCTTTGGTCAAATATGCTTGATAATGAGTGCATTGTAC